GGTTGCTGCTTCTAACATCGCTGGCATTTTTATGGGAATGCGGGCACAGCTGTTGCGACACCAAAAATGCTGTATTACTGTCAACGACCAGAACTCGACAAGTAGACCGCAAGATGAATATCAGATACGACCAAAAATAAGAGGTGGCTCTGCATCAGCAGTGCAATCAAACCACAGCGAGCTTTACAAACAAAGCAGAATTTTGCTACCTTTGGAGAAACAAAATTGTCCTGGCCCCAGTTGGTCAGATGCCACGGCTATTTTACATCTGCACGCCAGTGGCCGTCATTGCATTTCTAAGCTACCTGATTCCAAGCAACTCTGGGCAGCTTGACATATATAACAGTTAGAAAATCAACATTAACGCTCCATTGATAGCATCACCTGGAGGGTGCAATATCCAAATTCTCTCCCACCCCAAGGCCTGGGGAAGGATCATATTTTTAGTGCTGCTTTAAGGGCTGGTAAGGTGGGGTCATATGAGGTGAGATGCTGTTCCAGAGGGCTGGTGCAGTGACAGCGAAGGCCTACTTTCTGGATCTTACTCGATGATACTGTTTGATCGGTGGGACCCCAGAACAAGTGGACTCTGACAGATTTTACAGGACATGCAGACATTTCAGGTGACAGCTAGTCGCTCAAATAACTAGGGCCTATGCCCTGTAGGACTTTAAAGGTGACTGCCAACACCTTGAATTGCACCTGGAAGCCAACTGGTAAGCGGTGCAGTTCACAAAGCATGGATGTTACAGGGCATAGCGCTCCTGTAACTATGTTCCAGCAAGCTGTAGCTTCCGAATTTGACTTGGAACGGGGGTTTCATAGCAGATCTGCAGAATGGGATTCTCCCTGGAGCAAGCTGACACCTCCAGTCCCATAAAGCCATCTGGGTGGGGAAAACCAAACCAAACCAAACCCAACCATTTCATAATCTTCTGTTTTGGTTCTACCTGTTTTCAGTTTGCCCTGCCTCGATGCAACACATTTCTTTAATTTCAGGAATAATGCCTGAAAAGTGTTCCCAGCTTTCCATTTCTATTTGTATCCGTGGCCTTTTTCTGTCATTCCATAAACCACGAGTGCTTTTATGCCCTGAATCACTGGGGATTCCCAGCAGGCAAATAATCGCTTATTTTAAGGAAGGTTATTTGTATCGCAGTTCTTAAAAAATGTTGCTTAATTGCTGTTCTACACTGTAGAAGTAGGGCACAGTGTCCCTTTGTTTTGGCATTGTTGTGCAAACTAGCAAGCCAGTGTGTAACCGGTAGCTAGAAGGAATGTTGATGGTTCATATGGTCACATCCTAAAAATATTACCTTGTACAGTCACATGTGAAAGAGAGAGGGAGGAAAAGGAAATAATGCTCATAAAACACCAAGAAACAATTCTTGTTTCCTACAGACATTTTGGAAATATTCTTTCATGGGGGCAATTTTGATCGGCCTTAGAAAAATTGAGTAAGTGTATAAGTGAGAAAAGTTATTCACATTAAAAAAAAAAAATCATGCAACAAATTGACTGACTCTGGTTTGTATTTCACTGTCTACGTGGCTGACTGAAAAGAGAAAGAAAATCAGGTGGGAGGAACAAAAATGAGTGGCAGTAGCATACATTGGGGTCTGTAGAAATCCAAGATTAAAAAATTACTGGAAAACAAGCTTATCGGGGATGCTTTTTAAGCTGGTTACTGTGTTAGAGCTGTTACGTCCCAGAGCACGTGCTGCATTTTCAGGGGAAATACAAGCACCGTCTCTAAAGAAGAAAGTACACAGTAGCTTTACTCTTTATTCTGTGGTACATCAGTCATAATAATGATCCAAATAAATTAATAAACATAGGTTCCTCTGTAATTAAGCTTGCCTTCCCAAGATAGAAGCGTAAAAGTAGAAGTGAAACTCTCTTCATCTTCCCAAACAAACCCGTGGGTTTGCCAAACATCTGCCTGCTGGTCTCCTGTTTCCCTGCTTCTTTCCATTTTAATTTTATTTTATATAGAAACAGGCTGGAGGGGGAAATCACTTAAAACTCTCAGATAACAATCAAAATGGTTTTACGTACAAATTCATTCATGTTAGACAATTAAAATATTAAAATTTATGTCAGTTTATTCCACAGACTATAAACCCTTATTAGGGTTGTTGCTATTATTAATATATATTATTGCTGTTATTAGTGAGATCCACAACAGGATGTGTGGAAGTGTTCACATAGCAGTTGTCTTCTGTGCCTCAAAACACGCTGTGCTCATCCTCCCAAATGTAAGAACTTGGTTCTTCCAACCCTTACCCATGAACTGGCTCAACCCAAATGGAAGCCCCTTTAGAGATGCCTGTTCAGTAATGGCTACATTGCCCATTTCAGCCTGTCTAGTCAACATTGCATGAGATAGCCAATGGCTCGATGCCACATCCTTCTTGGACAGAACCCTGAGTTGATCCAGGGGTCGTCAGATCAATGAGGTTGCTGCCTCACTGTCAAGGAAGCTGTTCTTCAATTATGGAAAGCAAAGGAGTGGTTGGTAAATGTCTAGAGAACTTACCTGCCTCTGGTGTCTACTGCTGCAACATGTGCTTTGCATGTAGGTATGCATTTCTTTATTCAGGCATTTTTTATCTGCCACAATTGAAACACTGTGTGTGTGGTGCAAACCTCTAAAGAGACCTCCAGTTGGGACTTCTGGCTGTAAAATGCTTGCTCAAATACAGAAGGAAAGGGAAGTTCTTCAGATACTGGTGTAATTCATGAAAAAGAGATATCCTTCCACATTAGAGTATCAATTTTTTGGCTGTGATAAGAGGGACAGTATCCATTTCCACTGTCAGCTGGTTAATTTGCAAAATATATATAATTCAAAAGAATGTGGATATCTGCAAATATCGGTGAGTCTTCCAGAATAATTCAGTATATAGTGAAACCTTAATTTAACAGACCAGCTGGGGATGTGATTCTTGATTGTCCATGAAATTGTAGACTTCATCATCCCTGGTGATGTCATGATGCAAATGATATTAATGGTGTTATTTGCAATATTTTACATCATTTGCATAATGACTAGAATAGCATTATTTGTGCAAAGACATCATTACAGAAATGATATCAATGATATAAATAACAGTCTACTAAAACATTCACTGTTCAGTCCATGAAATAATTTCTGTCTAAAAGAGCCAGTAACCAGTATTTTTAATTTACTTTATGATCTTCATGTAGGCCCTTCCAGTCATTTTGAATGTGATTGATGTAATTTCCACAATCTTTGATCTTCCATCATAGCTGAACTGGAGACGTGTATATATGTATTTAGATTACAGGGAAAATTAAAGAATGAGAAGAAGGAGTATGATTGAACGAAACAGGACCACTTGGGTGACAACTCCCTTACATTGTATTTTGTCTCCTATATTTTCAAACAAGCAATTGGTTGGGTTAGAGTATTCCCTTTGTTTGGTTCCAGTTGTGAAGGAGAGTTGCTGTACAGAAAACTTGTTATCCATCCCATGCTTTCTTATGAATGAGAAGAGAATAAGAGCTGAAGTAAATATTCAGAGTTCGCCATGATACATATTAGAATTTTGATCATGATTTTTAAAAAAAATTAGAGATTTGACTCTTATTTACTGGCATCTGTCAATCATTTTGCTTTCGGCAAGATATCAACTGTCCAATGCAAAATGCATTGCATACCACCGGTCAAACTGTCAGGTAGGTATGCTTGAAAGGTGTTGCAGCCTTGCTGTTCTTGCATAACTGAGCAGCAAATGGAAAATCAGCACCTCCTGGAGTTCCATCATGGAATGAATCCATGACTAGATATCAGATGTTCTGTGAATATTCCACAAGCATTAAACATTCAGCAAATAGCTGAATAATCAGTACCAATAGAAGAGAATATATGTAGCTCAGGGTTGAACTGTGGAGTCCTTGAATAATCAGCGTCACAATTTTCAAGAGAAAGTTCTTTCTAGAAATAAACTGGATCTGCAGATTTTCTCAGTTTTTGTTTGAGCTTCCTTCTCTCTCAAAATGTTATGCTTCCATGTTTCTTAAATATTTCTCCCATGTACTGATTGCATCAACCATTGTATCTACTTTTTATGCATATACAATTCTGCACTTCAATTTTTATTATATTACCAAGTTAGTTTCTCTAATAAGGATACGATTCACTTGAGGATTATCTCAAGTTCATAATTTCCTCCATTTTTATGTTTACCCAGAGGGCCTTATCTTATAAGGGATTGAGCTACATGACCCACACTTCCTGCAAATTTTAGCTGCCTGCTGTAGTTTTGGTTTTTTTTTTTTTAAATGCAGCTTGCTGAGCTTTGAAATATGTATTGTTTACATCTAGAAATGAGCAGTGTTTCATTCTTACATTGTACATAACTAACTTATCCTTGAGATACTCATGTTGATTACATCAAGATGTTTCAAAACATTTTAGACTTGTGTTTTGGTCAACAATGAAAGCTGCTACGTGACCCTCTTTTTAATTTTTTTTCCATGTCCTATCTGTGGGGCATAGTATTGATTTGTCCAGCAGCATGTCCTCTTATACAGCTGGTCTGTTGATAGGTTGACTGGCTTGTGAACATGGGTTTTCTCTTTCATCAAGGTAGGTTTGGTGATGAACTCTCTGAACGTCAGAATGTTTGATTTTTGCATCAGTGGAGTTTCAGAGTAGGACAGTTACAGCCAGGTTTAGACTCAATCAGCTGAGGGTGACCTGAAATCAAACCTCACCTGTCAGTCTGTTGCCCATCACCGGGTTCTTGTGAGGATTAACCGGGAGGAATGGTAGGTAGGGAAGACCATAGACAAAGTTTAGAACACTTTGGCAGAAAAGTAGGGTTCAGGTGTAATAATAGTATTTGGGAGAAAACCAACTTTGATCAGAAGTCTTCTGCTAACAATTGAGAATGTCATTTTGCTTCATGGCAAGAGATTTCAATATCCCTCTGTTTTCTTTGTTTGTTGTGTGATGTGTTCTTTCTCCTCAGTGCCCTTAAAGATAGCAGATTTCCCCCAATGACGAGGGATGAACTGCCACGGCTTTTCTGCTCAGTGTCTCTGCTTACTAATTTTGAAGATGTCTGTGATTATTTGGATTGGGAGGTAAGGAATCTCTGTTCTTTGTGTATTTCATGGAGTGACACTTCTCCATTCTTAAAAAGCTAGCCTAGAAATGTTTCGGAACCTTGTTTGCAATTAGGGTCTGTTTTGTACTGCAAGAGTGTGAAAAAGCAAGGGGGTGTCTCAGACCCTCTCCTTGGTCCAGTGAAAATGATCTCCAGAATAGCCAGACCATTAATTTCCAACACTGGATTTGCCCTCTGTATCCCATGAACATTTTGATTTTCCCGCTGGCCGCCCTTATTCATTACTTTCTCCCATCTGCTGAATTTACTGTCCCGGTGAAAAATGAATTTTCAGTGGTGAAGTCATGTTCATGATAGACTGCAGGCAGGCAATATAAAGTGGAACATTTATCTGTATTAAAAAAAACAAAACTTTTTGCTTAACGAGGAAAAGGAAAATAAAGATTCTAGCCTAGCCCTCTCACCTATCAGCTGTTTTATGATATGTGGAATAATTTTTTTCCCCATGAACACAGGCTTAACTGTTAAGTTAAGCTTTAAGATAAACTTAGCTTGGCTGAAACTGACAAGATGGTGCACAATAAGAACCACATAGCAATCTCATTATCCCTCCTATTTTCATCTCTGTTTTGAGCATGGCAGCACGCACATATGCACTTTTTATTAAAAACCCTACTTGACACTTTGCAAGTTTGAAAAACTTGCAGAGCAGGAGAAATTCTCAAAAACAGTTCCTGCCAACGAATAGTTTACAGTGGGTATCTGAGTAATTTTCAGGAAAGTTTTTGCTTTCAACAATAATGGCATGTGACCATCCCAAAGTGCCACTCAAATTCCAGCATTCTGCCTTGATCTCCATCAGGTAAGCTCTAGAACAGAGCTATGGAGGTTTCCAAGTATGTGAACATTTAACATTTTCATGCCAAGCTGGTTTCAAAACGGATGCGTCTATAGTGATTTGCGTTCATTTATAAGCTTGTAAGTGGCCTCAGAGAAGGTCAGTTGAGCAAAAGTAGTCAGAATTGCAGAAGGCGAGAAGAGTGCCCTTCACAGATCATTCCAAATGGCATGAACTGCTGATTGCCTGAGTCTTGATATCAGATGTCCTCAACCAGGGCCCTCAAGATATGCTGAAATTGACAAGAGTTTTGTCCAATCCATTATCCTCTAGAAATGTGTGTGGGGCTAAAACTCACAGAATATAGCCATAGCCCACCTTACTCAACAGGGTTGGAACAACATCTGTCAGAGTTCCCAGAGAGCACAACCATGTTGGCTAGGAACTCTGGAGTCTTCATTTTAGCATCTTGAGGAGGTTGAGAGTGGTGGCTTTAGGACACTATAATTATTTTGTTTGTTTGTTTGTTTTTAATAATGAAGACAGAGACTGAAACATTGGGCTGTGCCCACAATGGAAACAGGATCTCTCTCCTTTTTCCTCCTCTAGTAAAACTTTCCTGGCTCTTTTTAAGCTGCTGGAGTAGAATGTACTATTGGATTTTTTTCAGAGCTGGCAAATAATCACCCTCATAGCATTTTGCATGCAACTTTGTGAATTGGCTGCTCAGTCTGAATAACTTCTCACTTGTGAATTGCCATTTGCTTGGTTTCTGAATAAAAATCGAAATATATCTAAGGCTTTAGAGATTATCTTAAACACCAGTCTGGTAACAGATATGCTAAGGAACTCCTCTTCGTGTTAACTATGTACCCTAATATTTTATAGTCATTGCATTGTGAACGATTCAGTGCAACATGCTGTGAAGAGTGTTGCCTTCGCAAAAGGCATGCCGGAGGTTCCCAAATACTCACAGTATGGCTTCAGATCTGACCAGCATACCTAGTCTCTTCTGGAATTTAGCACTTAAATAAATAGAAGAGTATAAAGCTAAGTCCAGCTCTTTGTGTGCAAACTTTTGAGCTTCTCCATTCCATTGCCAACTGTCTATATGATGTATAACTCAGCAGCTGAATATCTCCTGGACGCAGCAAAGGCCCATAGGTATTTATAGATGGCTGTGTAACAGACTTCGTAAGGAGTAGCAGCCTTTTAATATCCTTTACAACCCTAATGATAATTTGCTAAACCGTTATTATTTTTTTGTTTAGAGCACTTGTTTTGGGGGGAAAAATGATATTTCTCTGGATTAAATCCTTGATATGTCTCAGTAAAGAGGGCGAAGAGAGTATTGAATTTAATGTCCCATTGGGAACCCTGGAATAAAATGACCCATCACTGCCAATTGCAGAAGAATAAAGCACTCTCCTTTAGTGTCCACAGAAAATGTGATCTCTGAACTTCCCACTTTCTGCCCTACTACCTTATTTCCCATTTTGAAACCCAGCTGGGAGTGGGTGGGTACAAGACAGCCTGAAAGAATACTTTCTGGAGACAGAACGGAAGCATTGGGGGTTGAGTAGTATTTGGACAATGAGGTTGGAAACACAACATCTTCATTTGGTGTAGTTTGTTGGATTTTAAGGATAGAAAACAAGGTCCTGCAGGTTCACCATCCGTAGGATAATTACGGCACTTTTCTTCGCATTTCGTTCATTAGAAATAAAAGCTAGGTAACACTAGCCGAGTAGCTACTTGTCCTCACTCAGCAATTCCAGTTAAGATGCCACCTTTGCTTAGTTTTGCATCCCTTAACACTGCACTGGTGGTGAAAAAAATAACGCAGCACCGAGAAGGCCATTTTTTTTAGTAATTAAAGCTGGGGAGCTGAGAGAAGAGGAACCAAGATGAGTCTTCTCCCTCTCGCTGTCCCAGGGAGATGCATTGTTTTCAAAGACTTGGTTTTCTAAATGGGAATTTAGGGTTTCAGCCTGACTTGGAAGGGTATTTTTTGAAAAAATATTTCCCATTACCTTTAGCTCATGGTCCATAGGGAACCTTAGACAAGAGAGTAGGATTTTATTGAAATGTTGGTCCTTAAAACAATAATGCGTCACTGTATTTGGCCCTTACAGTGAGACCGCTTATATCATCCATGTTTCTTTTAAGGGGGACTGCAGTTATGCAATGTGAATGGCAAAAAGTCATTTCAAGATGGCTAGAATATGACCTAAAGAGAGAATGTGGTTCTTCCACCTGGTATAACTGCTCATTTCCAGATCATCCCGAAAGGCCATCCGCCCGGTTAGGAGACCTTACTTCTGTAGGTATGCTATTGATGATCTTGTGGGAGCTAATCCAGCAATTTGCTAACGAATGCAAAATGCCTTCCAAATTTCAAGTTCTCAGAGCTCGCTGTGCTCCTACAGTTGATCATCCTGGGGAGCCAGAAGTCTTGCTGGGGGAGGAGGGTACATCAGAGAGGATATCTTCTGCTCGAGGGTCTCTCAACTGGGTCAGCGTGGTCTTTTCTCCCGACAGAAGGAATTTAGAGGAGAGGGCTGAGTGAATTGGCTGCCATTAGCTCCCACATGGTTTTTCAAATTGCTGCCATTTTTCACCTGTTGTTTAAATATAATTTGCACGTTTCTCTAGCCACTTGCCCAAAGGGTCACCTGGGATTGTAGAGTGCAAATACAGGCCTTCCATTTTGTCCATTCATCCTTCCATAGCATGGCTATGTGTGACTTGCTCTGCTCATCAGCTCACGCTACCTGGGGCTTTTTATGAGGATGGGGCACATGGTTGACACCTCTAGCAAAAGTTCCCCTCCCCAAGACTCATCCCACAAAGTTGGTCAGTGTATAAGTAAAGGAGGCTCACGGCAGATGGCAGGGGTAAAAGCTATAGTGCTCCATAGAAGAAATAATTTTGACCCAGCCTCTATATCCAGGCCCTGTCTGGTGGCCATTGCATTGCACACATTTTCCATGTAGAAGACCCTGAGTTTAGTTACCAGCATCTCCAAACACATCTGGAATCTTGGAAAACCACCCACAGTCAGTTTAGACATAAATCAAGCTAGTACAGTATTTGGTTTATTTCTGTGGGTCATTTTTCAGCTACTGCAACTCTCTATTTTTGAGTCAGAAGCTACTTTCTCCATGTGACTTTGTCTCAGAAAACTGGGCTGTTTTCTATAGAGCCAAATGCTGACATTCTACTCTTTCACAGGGAGTGGTATTCACGGGGACTCCTCTCCCATTTCTAATCTTCTTCCACCTTTCTCCTAAGTGTTCAAAATTTCCATTTTTTTTTCCTCTGTCAAGTAATGCCCATTCCTGGATTAAAAAGTAGCCCTTTTTTGTCACAGGCTCTGAAGCTACCTCTTCTGAAGAATATGAAATGAATGTGTGCTTCTATGAAAGAGAATGGAGAATATACCACTCAATTGCTTGTCATATTTGGCTTAGCTGGGTAGTACACACATAGACTTTAAAGATTAGGTTATTGCTTGAATGCTTAGCAGTATGGGATGACAATCTAAACCAGTATTTCTCAACATTGGCAACTTTAAGATGTGGGGACTTCTGGGAGTTGAAGTCCCCACATCTTAAAGTTGCCAACGTTGAAAAACACTGATCTAAACTCTAGTGGAATGAAAGAAGACTTCTGAGTGTGAATCTAGTGAATGCCCCTTGAGACTCAAGACAGCATATTGTAAATATTAAGTTCTGAAAATGAGAGCCAGTTGGGTGTTGTGAGTAAGGGCACCAGGCTAGAAACCAAGAGACCATGAGATCTAGTCCTGTCTTAGCCATGAACCCAGCTGGGTGACTTCAGATTGGTCATACTCTCTCAGGTCAAGGAAGAAGGCAGTGATGGCAAACCACTTCTGAAAACGTTGCCAGGCAATTGCCAGGAGTCAAGATTGACTTGAAGGCACATACACAAAAAGTTACGCAATTCAGAAAAGGATTGTCTTGAATGTACACTTCTCCCTCCGCAGATGAACTCCCTGGTGTTTTCCATTTAATAATCACAAACATATTTTCTCATCACAAACAGCATGGATAATTGGCTGGAGAGCCCCAAGGTGTTGACAAGGAGTTAGTGTATAGAAAATTACATTTTATTGGAAAGCTTAAAGAATCGTTGGAATTTATCAGTGGTGTCAGACCTTTTAACGCACAGATGGCTGAAGCAAATCATAATTGACAGCTGTGGGCAAACACTTATTTGAACATGACTTGTATTGGGTCTATATTGAATTCATTTTTTTAAACCCACAATTCTTAACTGAGGCCTGTAGATATATAGAGCAAATTACATGATGAAAAATCACAGCTTATCTCCTCAAGGGAGACACAGTGTAAGACGATTCCTAAGAAAAGAGAGTGAAGAAGGAAGCTAATCTATGGAAGGGGGAGAATGAGATATTAGAAGAGGTCATTGGAGAAGAAGGAAATGCTTCCCCTTTTAATCTCACCTTTCCTTCAAACCACATAATGCAATCAGAATGGTCCATTCAGTCTAGTTTATTTTTAACATGACTTGGAAAAGTAGCAAGCAGTGTTGTTGAGGAAAGATTGAATGGGCATCCTCCCACTCAGAATCAGATGCTTTCACTTAGCTTTTTCTAACTTGGCCTTCTCCTGACACATGAACCTCAACACCCAGAAGTTTCAACAATGCCTGTGCTGGCTAGGGAATTCTGAACGTTGAAGCCCACGTAACTAGAGGGCACCCCAGTTCAAAAAGGCTTCACACTGCATTTCAGTTAAGAGAGGATGAGGGTAAGGAGAGGACAGTGCTGTGAAAAACTGGAAAAGAGAAAAGAAGAAGGGCAGAAGTATGTCAGGGACCACAAATGATTCAGAGCTGAAAAAAGGCCTTCAAAGTGGACCAGGCAGAGTCCCTTAGAATGGGAAACTGACTGCATATATACAGTAGCGGAACTAGTGCATTCCAAACCTTTTTTAGCCCATGATGAACCTGCTATATGGGTGCATCAGCAAGAATATGATCTGGCTTTAAGCATGTATTTATTTAATTCATTTAAGGCACACGGGCACTGTCCTTCCAAGTGTCTCTCTTGAGGCATGTTGCTCCTGTGATGCATGCATATAATTGGCTGAAGTTGTCATGAGCTGAACCTTTTTGGGGTGGGAAGTAATACTCAACAGATCTGCAGCCTTGGGTTTTTTGGTTGGTTGGTTTTGACTTTTTCTTTTTTTTTTCTTTGTGCCTCGTATTTATCAGTTGCCAAATCACTTCTTTAACAACACTGGGGATGTAAGATAGAGTTGCACAGCGCTAGAGATTCTCTTGGGAAGAGTTGGCTTGAATGATGTGGGAACGCAAACGCTGCATCGTGTCTGCAGCTAATTCAAGCAGCTGCTTCTGTTTCCAAGATTGTCTGGCTGCAGCGGAAGCCTCCCTGCAGCAGTGTGTGCCCTTGTGGTAATAGACACGGGTGCTTTCATGAGTTGCTCATATTTGCAATCCTTTATATCCTGAAGCAACACTTTCCAATTGATTCCATGGATCTGCGCAGCTCTTAAATGCAATCCTTCCTCTCTCTCCTTTTGGCAGATGCAATCTCCATGGCTAGTACTGCAGTCCTCCTATCTCTGCTGCTACTATTGCTCACCATTATTGATCCTTGAATTACTTGAAATCCATCCTTAAATACTTAAGATGGGCTTTTTACCAAAAATCCAATCCTCCCCAAGTTTCCCAACTTATTATCAAAGTTCTCAATGCTTTCCTCTTCATCTGCAATCTCTTCCTCTTATATTCCATTGTGCTCATACGTGACCTTCACTTACCCAGCTCTATCTTCTTCACCTGTCCAAAGGTTGACTGAAACCTCAAGTGACTCCGGTCCTTCATTTTTACTGCCCTTGTCCAGAACTGCCTCTCAAAATATATCTACATTGTCATCACTTTCCAATTTCTCTTCTATCTCTTCGATGAAGTTTTTTGTCCAACATTTTAGCAAAAAACATGAAATTTTAATAATCATGTAGTCATCTTTCATTGACTTGTTCTGACTTCTTTTCTTCCATTTCCTCTGATATCGCTTTTGTGATGTTGTCTACACTGCAAGCCACTTGGAACAACAAGGAAAAAAAAGAAGTGTAATTGATGTGAAGGTTCTTTAGAGTTAATCAATCTCAGAATGTGTTAACATTCTTGGAAAACAAGAGACTGGAAGATGCAAATTGCAATTTTATGTGGAGCTTGGAGAGACAAGCCTTGTGGTTAGAACAGCATAACTTTATAAGGACATAGACAAAGAGAATGGAGAAATGTGCAGGAAGGACTAGATAAAGTGTAGATACCGCTTTCCATGAAAATCAGAACTTTCCACTGTTCTCTTTTCCATTCTTCCTAAACCTCATTCCTTCTAGATATGCCAGACTTGGTTGGCTAGGTTATGGTAATTTAAGTCTGGCACTTCTGGAGGAAACAAGGTAAGTGAAAGCTACCCTATACTAACCAAGAAACAGAATCCAGGATGGAGATTTGCAAACTGGAGTTTCTTGATTTTCACTGGTGGAGATTACAAAAATCAGGGAATAAGACTTTTCTCCCAGAAGTGCTGCAAGGACATTTGTTAAATTTTTCAGTATCAGTGAATGACTGTCATTCCATTAGGAAAAGTTGGCGCACCAACTAGGGGTGTTGTGCTTTGACATCAGAAGATTTTGCTCCTTTTGACAGAAATCTTACTGGAATATGGCCATCCCCAATGTAGTTTATAAGTCTTCCCTCCTGTATATGTTCCACCCATCTTGAAATAGGCATAGCATTTCTCTATGCCTGAAAAAAGTAAATCTGTTCTTTCAGCTTTCAGCGAAAGAATCTTCTGAAAGGCAGTGTTGAGGGTCTCAGCTACAGATGATGTGGCTTTTGCATTGTACAAAGAGAGCTTCTTGAGAATGCCAGCTCTTGAGTGTGTTCTGTTTATTTAAAGCAGGTTTCACTCTTTGTGGGTTTGAAGATAGTTTGGTGAAATCTAAGCAGCAAAAAGGAATAGATTTCCAACAGAATAAGGTTGGGCTTTCTGTAGTTTTTCTAACAAGATGACCCTTGCCTCTCATTTTTGAGACAGAGCATTAGTTACGCGGTCTTTTTTGTATTTTAATTGGAAAAATGACAAGCAACTTTATATTTCAGTGGGAAGAATTAGAGCTTGTAGACAGGAATAATTTTACAGTCATTAGTCTCTCTTGTCTGTCTTGCGTGCGCTCTCTCTCAGGCACACGCAGACCCACATCCACAGGATTTCCTTCGATTATTCATAGAACTATTAAC